GTCCCCATGCCACCACGAGTCCCCATGCTGCCTGCATGGAATATCAGCTGGGCAGCCCACCCCTCAAGAGCCACCGCTTGCCCCATCACCTGCAGGTTGAAGGAGTCAAGGATGAGGGCTTCTCCCCACACATGCATGTTGGGGGGATGTGGGGCACGCTGGATGTGCGAGTCGTTGCCCACGCGCCAGCAGAGGTGGTCCACAGCCAGCACCACTCGCTGGTGCACGCTCTGTGGCCGCAGGTGCTGGTAGTCTGCAGGCAGAGAGGAGGGGGTGAGTGCGGGCAGGGCTCGCTGCTGCCTGCTCAGCTGCCCCCGAACAGGGGCAACTCAGACACAACCAGGAAGGGGTCCACAGCCTCTGGCCAGACCCAGAGATGGGCAAGCACAAAGGCGGCACAGTCGTCCCCATTCTCATCCTGGTACCCCTCTGGCAGGGCCACCGACCCCTAAGAGCCCAGCAGCCACCCTGGTGCCAGCTGGCAGCCCGTACCTGCAGAGATGGAGTTGAAGCCCAAGGCGAAGGGTGGAGTGTCCCCCAGCTGCACTGACACATTGACATTGGACAGCGAGGCACACAGGATGATGGGCGCTATGATTTGGGGATAGCTCCTGCACAGGACAAGTGGGGACAAGCTGTTAGTGGGGTGCTTGTGTGCCACAGAGCCTGGCAAGGAGCAGGCCCAGGGGAACGCCCTCTTTGCAGGGACCCCCCAACTGCCTGCCACTCTCCAGAGCAGCCTCCCCATCCCAGGGCCTGTGCACAGGGCAGAGAAGGTGCTGGGTGCCTGGGCACCCTGCTAGAGCACGGCACGCAAGAGGAAACAAGCTGCGATACCAGCAGCTGTGCTGAGCCCAAGTTTACCTTCCCTTGTGCCCTTGGCTGGGGACAGGCACCGCCTGGCACCTGTATTCCTGTGCCAATAGGCCCAGCCAGTGAGAAAACTCTTGGTGGCGGTAGTGGATGATGCAGGTATTGAGCAGCACAGCAGCCGAGAGGTCAATGGCTGTGACCTAGAGCAGGGAGAGGGCAGGGTGGCAAAAAGCTCATGCCAGGAGCCAAAACAGCTCCCCCCCGGGGGACGGGACGATACCCAGCACTCACACACCTGCACGCTGGTCTTCAGGGAGTTGAGGCACACGATGCGCTGGCGGCTCTGGGACAGGAGAAGGCCATCTGGGGAGAGAGAGGAGCAGAAGTGAGGTGTAGCAGAGGGCAGCAATGGCAGCCCTGTCACACAGGCACTCTCCTGGCTACTTGCCCTCCAGCTGGAGGTCTACACTCATTTGGTCCAGGTCTGAGGTGGGCGTGAAGTTGCGCAGTGGGATCTGCTCCTCTTCACGCTGATATAGAAACTGCAGCAGCTTCAGGCTCCAGGTGAGGTGCCTGTGAGAAGCAGGGAGTCACTGCCAGAAGGGAACTGCACTGTCATGTCCTCCATCTTCCCGTCCCTCATCCCCAGCTAACCGGCACACTGGCACAGACAAAGACACCAGCCAGTGCCCAGCTGCAGCCCAGCCCAGCGCTCTCATCCCATCGGTAGAGGATCCCATCAGGCTGTCCTACTGGAGAACCAGCTCACGTGCCTTCCTCCCTCCCCAAGAGCTCAGCCCCAGGCCAAGCTCAGTCCTTCCCACTGGGGTGGGATCTAGGACTCACTCTCTGCAGTCTGGCAGAGCAGGGGACAAGCAGAGAATGGCACAGTTGTCCCCAAGTCCCTGTCCCCAGCGCTGGCTCCCCCTCCACCTGTCTCCTTACCTCTTCTGGCTATTCATAGACAGCACCACGCTGGTGTTCTCCAGCTTCACCTCCACCCTCCTGGGGATGAGCTGCAGCGTGTCCCTGCTCAGCAGAGACAAGGACTTCAGGGGCTCCTCCGGGCCTGGAGAGGGACACAGAGAGTCACTGGAAGGCTCTTGCCGAAACTCCCACACCCTGCAGTGGGTGGCAGTGATAGCACAGCCAAATTCCTCTGGCCCCAGTGCAAGTGTGGGGGCTGCCAGCCCAGCCCCTGCCCTGCCCAGAGCTTGTCCCTGTCCCCATCCCTGACCTGCACTGGGCTGTTCCCCCACGCTGCTGTGCTGGGCCCCGTCAGCGACGTGGTGCAGCAGCAGGCTGCAGAAGAGCCCTTCGTGCAGCTCTGCCTGCAGGGTCTGGACGCGCAGCCTGACGCCCACCAGCCGCCGCTTGCTGCTGATCTCTAGCGAGAGGGAGAGCACCAGTGCCAGCTCTGCCAAGCAGGTGTCATCCTGTAAGGGGACACGGGCAAGGAGTGGATGCTGCAGTGAAGCGCTGGGCACAGCACGGAGCCCAGAGCCTTGCAGGAGCCCTGCAGCGTCACCCAGCCTCAGCGGCATGCTGGAACAGGTCCTCAGGGTGGCTCAAAGAGCCAGTGCCCAGGCCCAAAGTGTTGAATTTCTCCCTTCCCCAGCACTCACCAGCTGGCTGCTCCGGAGCACTTTGCTGTTCACCTTTGTCAGGCTCACCTCACAGGTCAGGCTGGGGAGAGCAGAGCACAGAGGCTGTGGGTCCTGCTGTCTCCAAACCAAGCCCCTGCCCCCCCTTTTCTGTGGGACACAGGGACCCCAAGACCCTGCTCCAAGTCCTCCCAAAAGCAGAGCACGCCATAACTCCATGCACAGCACAGCGACTCGTAATTTGAAGAACACACACTTGAGCTTCCCATGAAGGGAAAAGGGACCAGGCCAGCCTCAGAGAAGGTTAATGTGTCACATCACAGGTGACATGGGATGCTGCCAAGTGGGACAAAGCGAGGTGAGACACCAGGGAGCCTGGTCAGAGGAGCCTCCCTGCCCCCCTAAGACCTGGGGCCAGGCTGGCGGAGCAGAGCAGGATGAGAGCACAGCATTACCTCTTCCCATTGCCATTCAGAAGGAGACGCGTCTTGCTGGCCTGGATGTGCCAGAGAGACTCCGAGGTGGCCACGTGCAGAACCATGATGTTGATGGAGTCCATGTGGATGGAAAAGAGCTGGGGGGAAGGTGCTACCGTGAGGGATATCCAACAGCAGCACAGCCTGCAACAGCCTCTCACCAAGCCAGTGTCTCACCTGGCTAAGGAGCCTCAGCAGGGAGGGTTTAAGATTCAGGTCTGCTCTGCTTTCATTTCCATCGGCTTCTCTGGGAGCTTCTGGGATGGACGGCTGGAACCCAGGGCCCTTCTGGAGATCCGTGCGGATTCGCACCTCACCAAAACACAGCTCAAAGTAGCGCCTGCGGAACACAGGAAACTCTTACAAGAGCTCACACGTGGCAACCCAGCCCCATTGCCATGGATGCCTCCCGCTGAGGACATGTAGGACCAGCACAAGAGCATCCACAAGACTCTGCCACCCCAAAGAAGAGCAATTCACTCCCACATAGAGTGAATTCCCGACAGACCACGGGGAATTGGGCACTGCAGAAAGGTGTAAACTCAGCAGAACCGCAGTCAGTGGGGCCAGGGGTAAGCCAGACCCCCCAAGAGAGTAGGGAAGGAGCTGGGGCAGGGGTACGTACGGCAGCTCCCGGCTCAGTTTACTGGAGATCCAGATGTTGTCGATCTCCTGCAAGGACGCACAGGTAGGTCAGAGAAGAAACAACCTGGCTCTGCCTTGTGATGCTCATCCTGACGTTCCCGCTCTGCTCCCAACACCTGGCATCATGCAGGGAGCAGCCAAAAACCCCAAGTTCGGCCATAGGAGGAAGGGCCTGGCACGGGCTATGGGGCTGCACGACAGGAGCTTGGCTGCCAGGACTTGCTGCCAGCCTGGAAGTGACCGCAGCCACCCTGCCTGCCCTCGTCTGCCGGTGACCACCCCCCGCCCGGGCACCCACCA